ACTAGGACAGCATTGTACAGTCCCCGTACCCTTTTTTCTTCCGGGAAGTACCCAACTCACGTCAACATTGTGGTTGGCTTGGCTCAGTCCTAGCATGGGAGGAGGGAAAAAAAAGAAATCAATCGGTTTCTAGTGTCAACACTCAACACGAGTACACAACTCGCATCTACGAAAAATTAAGTCCCAATTATAAGCTACCCATTCCGTTTCATAATATAAATCATTTAACTTTTTTAATCAAATTTATTTAAATTTAATAGAGTTTATTTTTCAATAAAAAAATAAATGTATTATCAAAATATATTGAATTTTAAATTTAATAAAACTATTTTGTATAACTATTTTCTATAAATTTAGTTAAACCTAAATAGTTTTGAAAAAAGCCAAGCAAGTTATAATATGAAATAGGATCATGCATGCATCCTCCGATCCGATGGGCTCGCTACAGGTAGCCCAAGTACGTTGCGGGTGCATGGTGGGCAAGGGGGAAACAGTAGTTTATGTTGCCGCTATGCGTCGGTCGCGTAGTATGGCTCATCACCAAATGCACGTCGCCCTCGCCGCGCGCACGTGTGGTGGCGAGTCCCGCCCCGCGACCGCGTAGTAGGACTAGGAGATGGATAGACTTTACTAGTAGCATTCCGGTGGGCCGTCGGTCCGACGCGCGCGCGCGCGCGAGGGCGTGCGGTGCGAGCGCCGAGAGAAAGATTCCCCCACCCCGCGAACACCGCGCGCGCGCGCGACGACGTCCTCATCTCCTTCCGTTCCAACGAGCGGATCGAACAGCCACACACAGGGGAAAAAAAAAGCCCGGCCCCGCCACGCCGAAGCCGACGCGCGCGGCGGAAAGCGACGCGGGGGCGGCCTCCGGAGGGGATCGATCCTGTGTGCGCGTGCGTGCGGATGACATGAGATTCTGCGTATCCTTCGCGGGGCGCCGGGGGGTCGATCGTCCATCGGCCGTATTAGCTGGCTGCATGCCCGGGCGCAGCGGTGGCTTTCAAGGCGCTACTGGTCCTGACCTGCACACATACACACACTTATCATTGGCATTGGGGCCCTCGCATCGAAGCTGAGAGTAGAGTGGGTGTGCGTGTGCCCATCTCGATCGATCGGTGTCCAAAGCCTTAGCTATATCGACAATTAAGACTGCACAGCTAGCTGCACCCCACTGTTCCAAAGGCTCGCGATCCATCGATGTGTACGTGTGCCGATCGATCGATTGGATTATTTGGGTGCATGCACACAAGCCCGTCTGCACAGTGCCACTGTGTTTGGAGCAGTGCGCGTGCGTTTGCATGCGTGGCCGATCGCTCCTCTCACACGCTCCTCGCCGCGTCGACCCGGCGGACGTACGTGTGGCTTTTTCGTTCATTCTGCTGGGGACGCTGCCAGTTCGACTGTTGGATAATAGAACCGCCGCTCGGTTTCAGATGCTAGTGGCTCTGGGCTACTGGTACTGATTTTTGTTCCTTGGCACTGTTCACTGTTACATCGGCAGGCGAGATAGATCAGCCGGTGGCCTTGGACTATTTGCCGGCACGGCTTCGACGACTACTCCCGTATTTTATTAATTTGCTACCCAATTTTCTATCGGTACTCCGTTTTGCAAGTGCAAATGTGTGTGCAACTCATTTATATATGACGGCTGCGGTAGTAGTACTGTGTAGATACATATACACGTGGTATGCACATACACAAATTTTGGACTACAAGCACAGGACGACCCATGTATGACTACTGCAGCATATGATTATGCTTGGACTGTGTACATGCACGCATGGATATCGAGAAAGTTTGCACAGTGCCATGCGCAGGGATGGCCAAGGAAAGAGTTTGACCGAAAAGGAGGCATGCATTGCATGGGCTACACACCTTTGCATCATTTCTGACGACCACCAAACCCCATCCTGCTCCTCTGAATCGATCAAGTGGTACTTCGTCCTTGCAGCAATAAACTATATGTGATACTTTTAGCATATAGAACAATCAGGAAGCTAGACAAGAACAGAGATCTTGCTTCCAAATTAAACATCGTGTAATCGAGCAAAAGCTACTTAAAGAAAGAGTAATACCTAAAAAGTAATTCAATAATCACTGTTCAAGTAATTAAGAACTTTGTAGCCTGAACAGGTTTTCTGGGATTCTGTCTGATCAAAGCTATTTAAAAAGAGATATATATGCTCGAAAAGAATTCAGTGATCACTGTGCAAGTGATTTATAGCTCTGTATAGGCTGACCAGCTTTTCTGGAGCTTTGTCTGATATATTGGAGTATATATATAGTAACAAGTAACGGGATATAGGCTCTGCTAGATGCGTACCTAATTGTGCGATTGAACCGTGATTTGACCTGATTTTACTAGAAGACATGTCGGCAATCCTGCGCCAACTATCAACAGGTTAAAAAGGAGGAAGAGAAAATAGAATAGCAAGTGTCGGGGAAAGATGTTGTGATGTCGCTCGAGGACATGATGAATGTGCATGAACAAAGATGATGCTGATCAGAAAAGAAAAAAAGAAGGGCTCCATAGATTAGGCTATACTTTTTTACCCAAAAATGCTAATGCAAGTGCACAAGGATGTGTCGATTGCTCAACAGACAAATAGGTTCTTTTGATCAAAGGGCAACTCGATGAGCTTACCATCCGATTAGTTTATAGTTAATGTGCACAACAAGTGACCAGGTTAGAAGAAAAGCAGCTTAGCCGAGTTTACTTTAGTGCAAGCTGAAGTGTGCAGATCGAGTTGCGTCTGCGGCTAGCGACCTCAGGCCTCAAAAGGCCATGCCATCAGTCAGTGCGGGCACTTGTCATGACCCCCTCTGGTCCTAATTCTGCAACTTAGCATCTCCATTGGGCACTCACTCGTGCGGCACAATATGCTCCAGCTTTTGGCTAATTCGGCTCCTGCTTTTGGCTAATTTTCGCGGCATAGGAGAAGGTAGCTTTCAACTCGTGAGGAAGAGAACACGCGAATGCAGGGGCTCTTCGGACAGCGAAAGGCACAATTGGTCACTGGTTGGGTGGTGGTCAATGACACACTGATATTGTTTGTTGTTTGTTGTTTGTTGTGCGAGGAAATTACGAGCCCGGGAGGATATGGTAACCTAGGAGGAGGCGCCCGTGCAACGCCCTGAAGCGTACGTGGCTCTGCGTGGTGCAGGCCTTTCTGATAAAAGATGAAAGGGTCCTGCCGCTTTTCGGCCCACCTTGGGGATGGAAGCGTGGGTGGTGGGTAGGCACATCGCCCAACTAGACGACGCCCAAGTCCAAACTATATTTGCACTACAACCAGTTGCTTACTATATAGATCTTTATAGCCTATTTTCAGCTCACTTATATAGCGGTTAATATTTCACTATAAATATATGGTCCACAAGTCTGTCTAACGGATTTTCTTAGTTCCTGTGACTAAACCAGCTATAAACTTACCCGCTTCTTATCTTTCTCCTCTCCTCTCTCATCAACTCAGCATTTAGTCTTCTTATAGCCCTCTATTATACTTCTATTATACTTGCTCTACCAGTAATCTACTAGCGGCCGAGGTGGTTTCATTCATCAAACGATGAAAAGCGTGGCAGAATGGGGGCGTGCAAAGCAATGGAGTACACATATACTTGCTGCTGCTTGGGTGCCAGATTGGCATGGTTACTTACTTACCGGAAGACTAGCGCACACGAAAAGCAGCAGGTCAAATACGGAAGCACTGGGCACTGGCTCGAGAGAAAATTTTGCAAAAGCATGTGCTGAAAATTTTGAGTGCTCGCTTCGGGCTTGAGACAGATATTTTGCTCCTGTCCATTTCTGACGGAGCTGCGGCTGGATGGATGGACAGGCTCCCCGTGCTTCCCCCCCTCGGTGGATGGCAAACCTACCTATCCACTTGTGGTAAGATCTTACGGCCATTGGCTTGCCCTCGACATGGTCCATAATAAGGTTTAGTATAACTCGCCACCGAAGATAATGATTCCGGGAAAACGACGGCGGTTTCCCAACTCGGGCGACGTGGCGACGCGCGCGGCGCAAACCAATCGCGCCGCGGGCGAGACCGAGACGAGATCACGATATCGCCGGAGGGGTTGCGCTTGCGCCGCTGGGTAGAGGTTGGTGGGAGAGCGGCATCGGCGAGATGGCAACCGCTGCTCCCGCCGCGGATAAACGCATCCGGCAACCGGCATCGAACGTTCCGATCATGGCACAGAGCTTTGCTCCGACAAGAGCTAAGCTCGGAGCTAGTAACACAGTGTCAGTGGCCCTGTGCCGAACCATGGACAATGATGATGGCCTTATCCCCTCTGGTAACCAGACAGTGCGCTTGGACTGAACTGTTTCTGGCCTGATAGCTAATGTAAGTTATCCTGGTGCAGTGGTGCCTCTGCCTTTTTTACAAGGCACTCAAGCTCTCGAAGAACGATGCCAGCAATCAGTACTGCAGAAGCAGTGCATCTGGGAAGTATATTAAGGATTTAAGAACATAGCAGGAAGTGCAAAAAAGTGGCTGCTGGGCCGACAACAGATGCATAAATGGGCTCACATTAGTTGAACTTGAACCACAGGTTGCAACACACTTGGGAAGCAGGATCTTCAGACGAAAAGAAAACAGAACCGAAGCATACGGTGTCCGTATTCATACTACTCCCTCCGTCCCATAATATAAGAGATTTTGAGTTTTTACTTGCACTGTTTGACCACTCATCTTATTCAAAAAATTTGTGCAAATATAAAAAATAAAAAGTTGTGCTTAAAGTACTTTAGATAATAAAGTAAGTCAAAAAAAAATAATAATTCTAATTTTTTTTTTGAATAAGACGATTGGTCAAACAGTGCAAGCAAAAAGTCAAAATCCTTTATATTATGGGACGGAGGGAGTACATGATATGCTAAGAACAGGGAAAGCAGATCACTTGACACAGAACAAAACATAATTCCAAGTGACCGACAATTGACCAGTTATTTCACATATGCATTAGTGAGCATAATCACAACAAACAGGCTTAGATATCCAAAGATTCACTATCAGAAATTTTCTAACGGTAGCATTACCTTTCAAAGGCAAAGCTCGAAAAAGATGGGCAAAAACTGAGACAAGGGTGTTGGTGCATATGTATGTGCATGCACCAAAACAGAATAGGTAATACATTCAGACATTTGGGTGTAAGTTGAACTGTCTGTAAATTAAGTAAAGCAGGCAATTTCCTATTTGCAGTTGCGCGGTTTTACTACAATGTTACAAGATATCAAAAATATATTCACATGGACAAAGGTAACAACAATCTCCTTTCTCTTTTCCTCTTCAGCCTTCTATGCCTAGATATTTTGAGACCTACTGGAAGGAGAATTCCGAAAACTACAAAGATGGCTGAAAGTCTGAACCATCTCAAGTAAAGGGCAACATAGCAGGACACCATGACAAAACAAAACAAGATAGCATAGAAGAGAGCAACCTTGAGATCCCGCCTGCAACATAAAGGATCATGGATTTAAGAGCAATAACAAAGGCCTCAGAAGTCAAAACAGAAGCAGAAGCAGGATAGCAACAACCAACAGATTATATATTGTGCTACCGGCCTACCGAAATGAAAATCACCTAGGAATTCCAGTTGCGAATACCTACCTAAAGCTCATTTTCACAAGCTATAGTATTTCCTCTATCAGTTTCATTATAGACAAGCAAGATACTTTCTATATAGTAGTTTAGACTTTAAAAAATCAACAAGGATTTCCAGATTGCAAATACTAAGAGCTCATTTGCATTAACCATGCTACATTCAGTTTGCTAGTTCTTAACTCTGAGAAAGGGTATGAACAATTTCAGGACTATCGCATTCAATTGGAAAAATGAGCACATTGTGTTCACTATAAACTCGATGTTTCCTTTATTCACTCCAGCACAAGCTAAGTATGTCACAAAATTGCCTAATATAATACTCCCTCCGTCCCATAATATAAGTCTCCAAAATCCCTTATATTACGGGGCGGAAGTAGTACAATTCAGGATAGTGAATTCTATGATAGAATGAAAATCCTCTGTTGCAATGAAAATCGAAGGCATTCATTATCAATTTGTCTTTTAGTTTCAATAGTTACAATTACTTTGGATGCAGACTGTAGGGAATCAAACAAAATAGGTTTGTAGGGGTCCAACACAAAGCATAGTTTATGTTAGCACTACAACTAAATATTTTGAAGACAGTTACAAGCCTTAATTCAGTACCACAAGTGTCATCAGTCATGTATAAAATGACAGCAATGCTGCATGGAAAATATAAGATGATTCACTGGCCAATAGGTTTTGCTTAGACAACATTAAGTAAATACATATAATCAGAAAACAGAGTACACAACAAAGTAGATTGCCTAGTTTCTAAAAATCAGTAACCGGTTTTCATTCAGTCACCTTCCTCGTATTGGTCACCTACCTAGTAGTGTTAATATGGCTTAGCTGGACTGTAGTCTCACTGGCAACCCGACAGTTATGAGCATCAGTTCCCTTTATGTAGCCTAATAAACAGCCTAGTAGACCCGTTTACAGAACACTGTAGACTACACAGTAAAGTGTTCGTGAAAACAGTTTAAAGCAACATTCGCTTGCTCCTATAAGTCTGGCATCCACTATATTTTATATACACATTTATGCAGAAGCATGTATAAAGCATTACAGCTAAATTCAAATATTCACTGCAACATTTTCATGACTGCCTCTTCGTATGAGAAAGGGAAGCTGCCCATCTTGCAAGATAAATAAAAGCAAGTTTCTGGCATAATAGATAATAGATGTAACAAATAGTGGGTAAAAAAGACTCTGTTCAAAATTATAAACATAAACATACTATCTCTACTATGAACTTTTCATCATAAGTCCTAAACCCTAACACAAAGCACCATTTTTTAAAGGTTCTTCAAGGTCGCAGGTTTATCTTATGGTATATTGTTTGTAAGGCCACAACTCAAGTGATGGACTTGATGTTGAACTTTGGAAAATCGTGAGTCGTTCTTTTTGTAGTACTAAAGAAATATGATGGTTTAGCCAATGAAAACTAAACCAAAAAATAGAACAAACAAAAAAACAGAAAAAAATAAATGGCCAATCTTTTCTTTAATAGAAATGTTACTACTAAGTACCAACTGGACCAAGCCTGTCTATTCGCATCAGTTGTAGTGACCTATTTATTCCTGCTTAGCTCCTTCAACTATAATTTATTTTCGGACAGGCCCTAAACAGACAATGAGATTCACTTTATTAATCCATCAATTAGCCATTGGCTGTCATATAAGCCTTCCAACTGGCACGCCATGCCATGCAGACAATCCAAGTCTCTTGAAGCATGAAATGGCAAGCCATGAATTGGTGTGATCAACAAACTTAAAACATGGGTTACATACATGGACATGAGGACATCCCATATCATCTTAGCCACCTCTCCATTACACTGCAGTGCATATAATGGATAAAGTGCTAAACTTATGCAGTGCTTGCCACTTGCTAGGCATATTCCTGAGTCTAGGGATAACTGGATAAGTTGTAAAAATTAAACTTGAGCAAACTGAGGTTGGCCTGGCCAAGGTAGGTGGGCTTGGCAAGTTGGCAGGGCTTGACCAGGTTTAGGGATAGGACAGGTTCTTAAGTGACTAAGTGTGAGGCCTGTTAGCAACCAAACACTATTGCTTTGGGTAATTTTGTCAAACCTGGACCAACACCAGGTTGCTTAAATGAAACAGTCTCGATGCACTGCAGGCATGAGTTTTGCTCAGGTATAGGAAACTACAACTAGCTGACAGTATTCAGTTCCCCTTTCTTTTCCTTAGTTCCTTCACAAATTGTTGTATTCAGCTACTGACAAAAGTGAAGACACCATAGCTTGCATCATTATTCATGAATGCAGTTGTTTGTTCTAGTACTCCGTTGACTATGATCATGGGAATAGATGAAAAGTTGCATAATTAAGTTGTTTTATCCAAATATACTAATAAAACACAACAGCTATGCTATTGTCTTGACTATTGCTGAGTAGCACCCACATACAAACAGAAGAGGGCCTTATCTTAGAGCCCCTTCAGATCATATATCCAACACCTTGCCATCGAATAGATATTGTATGGCCGAGCTTTTTAACAATCCTAGTCTCAAACAAAAGTCAAAAAAGATCTCTTAGTAGAGACCTCGAAATTCTAATTTTCACAAGACATTGCGCCGTCAATTGAGTGCACAGCTAATAATTAGTCATGAAGTTATTAATATCATACTGTGAATTTCTACCTACTCAAACCATATCACATACTTAGTCCCAAATAAAGGAGACTAAAATCCCTTCTTGTTGTGCACTGCTACAACCAGAAATTAACCAAAAAACAAAATACTGCCACTATTCACACAGATCATCCAATACCCATATGATCAAGGAAGCAAAACAAAGAATAAGCCAATCTAGGGAGACCATTACACTGAATCTAGGGAGACGAATCTGATTTTGATCATTACACTGAATCTAGGGAGACCACCAAAATCAGGGCAATCCAACTAAAAGCCCTAACCGCATCATGTTTGTAGCAGCGTCGCATCAGATCTTAGCAGGAACAAGAAGATGAGGGACCTTTACCTGGAGGCGATGTGAGGGCTGGGCGAGAAGACGGCGAGGGCGGCGGAGTAGGACTGCGCCGACCGGATCTGGTGCTCTCTCAGCTGCTCCACCAGCTTCGCTCGAGTGATCATCTCCTCTCCCTACTGGAGCCCCCGATTCATCCGAGGCACCTTTTTGCTAGAACTGCCTGGAATTGGCGGAGGGAAGAGAAGAACAAGAGGGAAAATACGAAGCCACGAAGGGGAAGAAGAGGTATTGGAGGAGGAAGAGGACTCGGTGATTCTCGGCATCGTTCGTGTTCGTTCGTTCCACAGTTCTACTGTGCTGTGCTCGCAGCACCACAGGATCGGAGATCAACGGCTAGGATTGCATCAGTGACTGTTGGGGGTAAATGTGAACTTTCTGTGGGTACATGGAATATATTTTGAACAATGAACAAGTGCACATATTTGTTGAAAAGTCAGATTTACACACTAATGTGTGTCTCTTTACATGTTAGCCTTTGTACGTGGAACCATTTCTAAACCATCAACAATGTCTTATAGACTTGTCGTCATATAAATTGTTTGTGATGACCGATCATCACAATTGTTTTCAACATCGTAAGTTACATATACGATCTTGCAAGTAAAATCTCCAAATTTAGCATGGACAATATAGGAGAGAGATAGATGCGGATAGATTAGAGCTTGGGCTAAGGCCTACGGCCCAGACCACCCTAGACTATTTTAGCCCACAAAGATCCTAGCATGGTGAAAATTTGTTCAGGTGTATGGACATGTAGAGCCCGTTCAGATTGTAGCCAAAATAAACCTTACAAAGTTCTGGCAATGCCAAAATTTTGGTAAGATGACAATATTACCAAAATTTGGCAGGATTTCTTATGTATTGACCAAATTTGGTAACAAACTAAACGTAGATATTTTTTTTGGTAACTTTGCCAAAAAAAATATGGTTGAAAATGATATCAAAGTGAACATACCCGTAGTCACAACTCACAAGCTCGGGCCATGAATAGGAGATATACGATCTTGGTCTATTTGATTACTACTACATTATTTTGGCGGATTATCTATTTGATTAGACGTGACTACACAGCTAGTGGTAGCTGGTTTGTCTACCACTCCATCTATAAGAGACACCATCCACCTATATTTCAAATACAATTTTCTCTTAAACTACTCATCCGATCTACGATCCGATTACACCGTTGTGTTCGTAACAATTAAATCTTTACAACAAGATCTCACATGATTATATTTTGATGAAAAATCACAAATTACTTTTATGATATGTCTAAATTACTTTTAGATTTCGCTAAGTTACTTCTTAGACATACAAAAGTAAATTCAGTAAAGCTTAAAAGTAATTTACATATATTATAAAAGTAACTTATAACAAAAAGAAAGTAACTTTAATTAATACATTTTTTCATTGAACAAATTATCATATATTTAATTATCATATATATAAGTTACTTTTAAATTTGATTAAAATACTTCCTATACATTCATAATGCTCTGAGGTGATTACTTTTATTATTGTTTCTTTATTATTGTTTTTAGTTAATTCCATAATTTGTGCTGATTAATTTAATTTCTAGATAGAGTCATGTTTTTATCTCTACAACGGATTTACTTGAAATGACATGCCAAAGTTACATTCGTTTTGTTCTAAGTTACTTCTATAATATATGTAAATTACTTCTAGGCTTTACTGAATTTACTTTTGTATGTCTAAGAAGTAACTTAGTGAAATCTAAAAGTAATTTAGACATATCATAAAAGTAATTTGTGATTTTTCATCAAAATATAATCATGTGAGATCTTGTTGTAAAGATTTAATTGTTATGAACACAACGGTGTAATCGGATTATAGATCGAATAAGTAATTTAAGAGAAAATTTCATAAGAAAAAAAATATGGACAACCTAATAGCAAAAACTACTTGCATGCATGTCTGTAACGCTACTAGTACTTCTCACGCAATTGTCCGCGTCGCTCGTTAAGTATAAATCGAGATGCCTCTCGAAATAGATTTTGCGTATTTGATTATAGGAAGAAATCAAATGTCTTGAGAAAAAAGACCTAAAAATAGGTTAAAATAAATGATCTAAACAATGCAATAGAAGAAGGTTTCTAAGGAAACATATCTTTAGAGTTATGGAGCAAATGATCCATGTTAATAATCCGTACGTTGAAGTAGCTGAAAAATACTCCTTTGATTTCGTATTATAAGGTGTTTTGATTTTATTTTTAGTCAAAGTTCTTTAACTTTGAACAAGTTAATAGAAAAATAATTAATATCTATAATACCAAATAAAATATACCATCAAGATATACTTTATATTATGGTGAATTTTGATGAAACTAATTTGAGATTGTAGATGTCGTTGTAGTTTTTTCTATAAATGTGATCTAATTTCGAGAGGTCTGACGATCTTTGTATTAGCATGAGAATGAGTCCTTTACTCCTTTACTTCACCTACACCTGAAAACACTATGCTATGCATGATTGCTTGCACGAGAGCACGTACTACGCAGTTTCAGAGGATACACTAATGCCTTCCGATAGCACGTTGTGACTTGTGAGTACACATTTTTGACTGAATTCACATGAACATTGGGTGCAAGACTTGATGAACGACCTGTCGACCTTATAGCATCTCCAACAGACTACTAAAATCCGGCTCTCCAAACACCCATATAGCCAACTCTTTATCTGATTTAGCAAGTCAAACTAGTTCCTCGCTCCAATAGACTCTCCATTTGTACTTTTCATCCTGAGTCTATGACAATGGAACCCACATGTCAGCCTCCACCGCCCTTCTTCCTCTTTTCTTCCTTGCTTCCTCTTTTCCCGCTAGGGCAACCCCATCGGCCCATCCTCGAGCTCCTTACTGGCCCTCTCTGAAGCGAGGACGCCAGCGCACGTGAGGCGGGGGGCGACGGCGACGGGGATCCGCCCGCATGAGGCAGGAGGCAACAACGACGAGGATCCGGGCGGGCGAGAGGCGATGACGACGAGATATCCGGGCACGCGCGAGGTGTATGGTAACGACGACGAGATCCAGGCGCGGCGAGGTGGAAGGTGGCGCCGACGAGATCCAGGTGCGCGAGAGGTGGAAGGCGGCGACGACGAGATATAGGCACGCGCGACATGATGACGACGGCGAGTGCGGAGGTCGGCGGTCGCGACGAGCGGGGGCCGGCGGCTGCCGTGCTCGAGCTCCTCCCCATGCCTCCTCCTCATGCTCCTCTTGTGCCTCCTCATTGGTTGCCGTGTGGGGATAGAGAAGACTGGATGTGTGGGGCCCACCATTGGTCAGCCAAATAGAGTGGCTAAATTTGGCTAGTGGAGGAAGGGTTTTGGTCAGTCGGATGGCTTAGCCATCCGGTTGGAGAGGTTGTTGGAGCATGTTTTTTTATTAGAATTATTAAAATTTAACTTGAAGAGTGAGATGTAGAGACTGTTGGAGATGCTCTTATTAGCCCGATACAAACAGTTCTCAGCTCCCTATTTTATTTAGGAAACAAAACCCTCAGCCATCATGAACCACATGTGTCTATTTACAACTTGTACATTGCCCCTGACAGTTTCTGTCTGAAGTCGCCTACCCTGAGTATATATATACATACCTACACATGGGATGTCAGCGCGTAATGCTTAAATTACTTACGTATAAACGTGAATCACATATCCACACACTTGCTATTTGCGCGTGTGATCACTCCATAGTACACACTTTGCCTAGTTTGCCTTCACTGCTGGAACCCATCTTTAACGCTTCACTGCTGGAACCCATCTTTAACGTCGGTTGGAAACTGACGGCGAATCCGGAACTAAAGATGTCCATCTTTACTCCCGGTTAAAATAACTGGGACAAAACACCAACCGGGACTAAAGATGGCGCAGCCACGTGTCGTCCAACACCATCTTTGCCATCTTTAGTCCCGGTTGATAGATCAAATCTTCCCATTGAACTTATAAACCGGACTAAAAATTATTTTTAGTCCCTGTTTTTTATGAACCGGGACAATTGTGGTTTTTCCTCGACCTGGTAAAGATCATTTCTCCAGTAGTGCTTGAAGTGCTCTATATTTTCGGATGCTGCCGCGAGACACGCCGACTCTGGCCTGACCATGGTTCCCATTTTGCCATCTCGATAATCCGAGCAAACAGATCGCCTAAACTACAGCTACAGCCACGCAACACGTCAACGCAGGCTCGGAGAACGGACAGAGACCTACTCGGTCCGGCTTCAGTCATCCAGCCAGCCATTTGGCCAATTGCCCATGTCCCCGAAAATTTCACAGAAGAGGTTTTTTACTGTTATTGAGGTTATGGAGTACCAAATCTTGATCATTGATCTGGCATCATCCAACGGTCAGAAATCGTCCGTACCTCATGGTACCGTACCTTCTCATTGAAGTGGTACTATGGGTGGGAGGGAATTTATGTCATTTTCTGTTTCACGAGAGAAAAAAACGTCGGGAGAGCAGCGGCGTGGCGGCTAGCTCGAGGGGGACGGCGGCGGGCTGGATGCACGGCGGCGACGGATGGGCAGGGACGACGAAGAGAGGACATCTGTTTTTATTAGACTGATCATATCCCTGCTAAATCAATGGTTAGATTAGATTGGTACCTCATGTTACTTTTTCAAGGATGAAAAAGATGCTCTTCACAGACACTGCCACTTAACTCAGCCGAATTCGAGGACGCCCAAGTCCACCATGGCCAGGCAGCCGATCCCCCGTGGCCGTGGGCCGTGGGTACCGCGGGCGTCCGTGACAAAGGGGACCCAGCCGCGCGTGGACACGGTGGCCTGGTAGCCTTGCTCTGCCTTGTGGACGATGGTGTGTTTAATTTGTGAGTTGTGAACTTGTGATAGAGCAACGGGCCAGTAACCACCGACGAGGAGGAGAGCATTCGCACTCATACGAGGTTGTCAGCAGCACAGGTCAAAGCTTCTTGTGCATACTACTGCAATTAACCGGGGCAATGATGAACAAGAGGTGAAACGCTGTTTTCTTCCCATATTTGCCATCATCCCCATCACGATCCGGGTGGCATTATGGCATATGGAATCGCTTTACCTCACTCAGCGAGCGCCAGCGGCTTAATAATTGGAGATGAGCACCGGTGATTAGTATACCCATTAATTACGACGATAACCACCCGTGTGGCTGTTTCCGCGCCACAACACGACTCGCCCATATTCGCCACTCGCTCGCTCATGCAATCCTGCTTAACGTCCATGACAGATTGTTGACAGACAGCAAAATCCCATCACCTCCCGAAACCAAAATTCCAGGTACGACGCTGATCTGCTCTCGCGAGTCAGGCTCACGGCACAACCGCACAGCCACATACTCGTCACGGGCCATCCTCGCGACGATATATTGACATGCACATTTTTTACGCGTTCACGAAAAAGATAGAAGCAAGTACACCCGAGAACCGAGAACGATGTATCGCCTCCGTTCCCTTCCCTGATCAAAGCCACTATTCGCTGTGCCGATCCACACTGCGGTTTTATTCTTAAAGCTTATGATTAAACTAACTGGTGAGAAAAAAATGGGTTCTCTAGCTTCTATCTTCTATTTTATTTTTTTCTACAACTATAAATTCTAAAAGTCTAAGTGAAAATTTAGACGGTCTAGAGAAAATTATGTTATGCGATGATTTAAAAAAAAATTGTAGCTATCAGAATCTCCTCTAAACAAGTCTTACGGCTCACCTGCTTATCACCATTATCTTTATGCTTGTGCTTATCAGCTAAAATTTAAATTTTCAACTTTAAATTTAGAGTTTATTTTGGGATTTTTTTTATTGTTGCTTATTTTTTAGCCTTTGCTTTTAGATCGTTAAGAACACGTATATAAAAGTTTATTTACAAATTATTTTTCATTTGTAAATACTACCGTTTCGCTTTTTCCTCTTATATGCCGGGGCTGTATTTCTCGGCGAGTTGACGCACCAAAGGAGAGGGGAAAAAACGCATTGGCGGGCCGCGCCGCGCGTGTAGACGTGCGGTCAGAGGCAGGCACCGCGAGAAAGGAGGCGAGGCGACGGTGACCGCGGCTTCTCCCGCACACAACCCTTGTCGTCGTCGTCGTCCCTGTCCTGTGCTGCCGACCCCACGGTGTCACCTCGCGCCCCGCCGCTTTCTCTCCTCTTATTTTACGCAGCAAGCAAGGGGGCCAAAGACTGCATCGACGACTCGCCTCCTCCTCCTCCTTCCTGGCCTCTTTCCTCCTTGTCTTCTTCTTTGCCTCTCCCATTGCCAGTTTGCCACTCGAGCTCCTTTGAGTCTTCGACCATTTCACTGATCCCAAGTAGTAGCCATAATTGGACTCGAACATCTGAGAAGCTGCGGCGAGATTGCATCAAGCAGTAGGATTCTTGTTGCTAGTAGCTTGGCTGGCAGTGGTGGCATGGGGGCGAGGAGGTGGCTGGATGCTGCTGTCACCTCTGGGCTGCTGCAAGCGCTCCTCTTCCACTTGGCAAGTAAGTTCTTTCCGCGCTAGAGCGCTTCTTTCTCACTCAAGCTGTCTCCTGCGAATTGTGCCAGTGATTCGTTGCTTCTTGTACATCATTGACATGCTACCTTGTTGTTTCTTATCGCGGTGAAAGTTTTGATTTCGTTTTTGCATTTTGTTGGTAGATAGATAGATGAAATGGTATCACCGAATCATCTTCAGATCATGTTTCGCTCGCTGGATGCTTATTAACTGGTTAGCTTAGTTCGGTTTTGGAATAGTGGAACAATGGCTTCACTTTCGTTGTGATTCTTTGTTCCTCGAATTAGCGTACTGCACTAGAATACTTTAGTCAGTTCAGCGAAGTGGTAGGACGAAATTCTGCGTCGTTTTTACGGATGCAGGTTACTCATTCGTGCCGAGTTACCGAACCTTTTCTAGCTTCCGGAATGGTGAGCAAAGAAGATGGCGATTGATGGCACATTTTTTTTTCTAATAAATAGGTGGGGAGGATTTGATGAGATCTTACTTTTTTGCTCCGAGAAATTGAGATTTCGCCAACACGAGGGGCAAAGTGGGGAGAGAAATGGAGTTTCTCTGCCACGACTCCTGATCATATTCCCAACGCCTAGATAAAGAGAGGAATTATTTTGGGATTGCATTCAAAAGCGACGGTTAATTATACAGAACACCATATATTGTTTGTTAGAGAAAACTCTTTATTTAATACCTAAAGCACTTATCAGTCTACATAACGTATGAAATCGGTTATTGTGCCCCTAAAGTACGAAAAGCGTTCCACATAAAGTATTCTATAGTTTCTGGGAGGTACTTTTAAGCTAGTTAAAGAGATATGATATTAGGTGTGTGTGTATGTGTGTGTGTGTGTGTGTGTATATATATATATATATATATATATATATATATATATATATATATATATATATATATATATATATATATATATATATATATATATATGTTTATAGAGATAAGTGCACGCATGTGTATGAATATTTACGTTTATACCGTGTTCCAAAAAAACAACATATCAAAGTTGTTTGGAAGTTTTTTTTATTTTCTAAAGAAACATGTGAGGATGGTTTGTAAGTGTTCTTTTAGGCGGTGATGCGACCGAGTGGTATTGTTTGCATGACAGACACGTTAACCAATTTCAGCCGAATAGTTCAATCACTAACTTTCTCCGATCACGTTACTTCTTTCCTAAGCCGCTATAGTTAGGAGTAAAAATGCATTTAATCAATTACATCCTCATGTCACTGTGTGTTCGTCGTGGTCCCGGTGGCCAAAACCACTCTACAGGTTATTTGAACCAATTTCATACTTTTGGGAGATAATTTACCCGGTTGTTCCATACTTTATAGGATTAATCAGACTTTTTCAACGCTTTATTCTCAAACGGTAGAAATGGTAAGAAGCCGTTGTGCTATGGCTGTTGACTTTGTAGCTAAACATTGCAGAGACCCGAAGTTGACTCTTCCTTTTTTTTGAAAAAGAAAAAAAGAACAGAGCAACTTGGCATGAACTGTAATCTGCGCTAGCTGCATATGAACCATGCTCAATTTACATTGGCCTGGTGAGGTGACTTTTACCAACGATTCGCATTGAGTACACCAAAAGGGTTGGTCAAGGAATCTAGCAAATACCAAATCAAATATCCAAAGCATAGGAGCCAACACTCGTGGGCGCAAGATCCATCACCTAACGGCCGCTAGAATAGTTGGAGGCTTTATTTTGGGGGAGAATAATTCGAACTTGACCAACAGGCAACAGCTCTCGCCATTGGCCAAACAAAGAGGAACAATGATCACGCTTCACGCCCGGCAGCATTTGACAGATAATGGCTGCCCCAAAGAGGCCAAAGCTGTACAACGCAGCTCGTCCTGTTGCTATCCAACTACTGCTCTGGAGGTAGTACGTTTGCGTGTGCTCTCACCACTGCCATATGCTTAACGTGACAATTAAGTAATTATTAGCAGATGCTGCGCGTACGAAGTTTGCGACAGCGTTGGCCATGTGAATTTGTATGTGAAATGAATTTTGCTGAAATTTTGTAAACTTGGATTTCTCATGCGAGTTTGATTGATATTTGCAGCGTCGCAGTCGTTCATCGGAGTGAACTATGGGACGATAGCCGACAACCTCCCGCCGCCGGCGTCGACGGCCAACCTGCTGAAGTCGACGTCCATCGGCAAGGTCCGCCTCTACGAGCCCCAGCCGGACCTCGTCGCCGCGCTCGCGGGCTCCAACATCTCCATCCTCCTCGGCGTCCCGAACGGCGACGTCCCCAACCTCGCGTCCTCCCCGGCGGCAGCGTCGGCCTGGGCTGCCGCGAACATCCCGACCACGGTGCCCGTCTCCGCCATCTCCGTCGGCAACGAGCTGCTCAACTCCGGCGATCCCACCCTCGCGCCGCAGCTCCTCCCCGCCATGCAGAACCTCCTCGCCGCGCTCCCCGCCGGCTCAACCACCAAGGCACGTATCTCATCACAGCATCTCTACGTACGCATCGCGGTGGTTTCTTGAACGAGTTTGCGGTTGACTAGCAGATCTCGACCGTGCATTCCATGGCGGTGCTCTCGTCGTCGGACCCGCCGTCGTCGGGCGCGTTCCACGCCGACCTCGCCGGGAGCCTGGACCCGGTGCTGGACTTCCTGAAGCAGAACGGCGCGCCGTTCATGATCAACCCGTACCCGTACTTCGCCTACGCCTCCGACACGCGGCCGGAGACGCTGGCGTTCTGCCTGTTCCAGCCGAACCCGGGGCGCGTCGACGCCGGGTCAGGGCTCACCTACACCAACATGTTCGACGCGCAGCTGGACGCCATCCGCGCGGCGCTGGACGCCAAGGGGTACAGCGGCGTGGACATCGTCATCGCCGAGACCGGGTGGCCGTACAAGGGCGACGCCGACGAGGGCGGCGCCACGGTGGACAACGCCAGGGCGTACAACGGCAACCTCGTCGCGCACCTCAAGTCGCAGGTCGGCACGCCGCGGACGCCAGGCAAATCGGTGGACACGTACCTCTTCGCGCTCTACGACGAGGACCTCAAGGGTGGGCCGGAGTCCGAGCGGTCGTTCGGCCTCTACCGGACTGACCTCACGGCGAACTACGACATCGGGCTCGCCGCCGCTCCCGGCACGGCGGCTCCGGCCACCGTTACTCCAGTTACGGTGCAGGTTTCATCGATGCTCGTTGCCTACCGATTCTGCCTGCAGTCTTTGGATCGAATGGAATGGACGTCCCTGATCTGATCTCCATGTCTTTTTTTGGTTTTTGCAGAACACGCCGCAGCCGAGCAGAGGGATGACGCCGACGGGGTACTGTGTGACGGCGGCCGGCGTGCCGGGGACGACGCAGGGGCAGCAGGTGCCGCAGACCAGCTCGTGCTACATCCCCGCAGGCGCGGTTTCGCGGCGAGCTGACGCCGCCGTGCGTCGGCTTGTTTGGCTTGGAGTGTTGCTTTGCCTGGTGACTTTAGTCCGCAAGTAGATGGCTGCGTAGGTACACTCCCTCCGTCCAAAAAAAAAGACAAACCCGGGTTGCCGTGTCTAACGTTTGACCGTCCGTCTTATTTGAAAAAATTATGAAAAAAATTAAAAAGACAAGTCACGCATAAAATATTAATCATGTTTTATCATCTAACAACAATGAAAATACGAATTATAAAAAAATTTCATATGAGACGGACAGTCAAAGTTGGACACGAAAATTCAGGGTTTGCCTTTTTTTCTGAGACGAAGGGAGTATACGTACTAGGTACCCGTCACCTGCTAAGAGGAAAAGACACGTACTCCACATACTTTTGTGACCAACTTGGTATCATTGTGCATATGAATAGTGACATGTCACTAGATAATATTTCTACGAAGTTGCACATAATCGAATGATTAAGCTTTCAGGTACCTACATGCCATTCTTCCACCTTCCAGCCAGCAGCCACCATTCATTAGAGTGTAAAAAATATCATGTTCTGTAGATTGCATGAGCCATGACGTGCTTTTATCTACAAAACTAACTAATTATCAGTTTCATGGTATGCACAGCCTGTCTAAACATGCACCGTCCACCTTTTGTGCCAGAAAGCACAGCGAGCCGCTCGCACCAAATTTGACAGAAACATAGCACCAAGGCACCTATCTTCTCAGGTGGAACTTTTGTGCTTGAAAAGTTCGTATGTTGTCACTGCTGGAAACATCAGCATAGTCATGAGTTAAGTTTGTTCCAAAGATAGGCGGCTCTTCTTATGATTAGGTCTGCTGACGAGCCTTCTGCATATGCTTCCAAAGCTCGCAAGAGTTTTATGAATTTGGCTCCATCATCCTGAAGAAGCATTGCGGGCAAGAATAACAGTGTAAGCAGGAATCAGAGGGACAAACTTTAGTAATGGTTTAGTTGTTTTCATAAATATATGATGCTACAATTGCTACCTTTGGCTTCTGAAACACAAGATCCGATGTCTTAAAAGGAACCATATAGGATGGAAGGTCAGAACGTAATGTGGCCTACAAGAAGTGTAAATTCAATGAGAAGAGTCTGGTTGAGATAGAATCTCACAATATAATATGGAAGATGATTGCATTTCATGATTCATCAAGACAATAGAAAGGACTTTTGAGCAACATAAAAAAAAGATTACCAGGCTTTTGCAAAGCATTGCTTGTTCAGATTGAGATATCAAAGCCTGTAAAGGACCACACCAAATATGATTTGCTCAACCATTTGAGAAGTCATAAGATAAAAAATGATATATTTGACAAGAGAGTATGTGCAATCAACATTCAAGAAGATAATCATATTATACTAAAGGGTAAAATATCAATGCCATTTAATGGGGTCATTGTATTGCGCTGTTCTAGTGAAACAAAAGCGTCATGCAACCCAGTTTCTGTATCTTGGCATTTCTGTGCATAAGTGCATGCTGATAAATGCGAAGAGGGGATATCTCATCTAATGTATAATATTAAGAATGATACCTGTTTAATTCGTTCTTCCTCAACTTCATCCACAGATTTCAACAGATTCTCCAAGGAACCTATGTGAGTACCAATAAAATGACAAAGTTATAACTTTTGGAGAATTGCAGGATTATCAGGACAGCTAATATGCCCACTATTTCCAAACTCAAAACATAGAATACTTGGATTCCAAATATAAGTTATTCTAGATTTATGTACAGGGATAATAAAGTACATCAAACGACCTTGTTACCCTTTACTTATACCACATTGAATAATGTGAATTATTCACGGAAGAAAGGGAGGAGTAAAAGGTGGCTAGAAGTTTAGGATGACTTACATTTAGGAAAGACTTGAGAAAGCTAAAAACTACTTATATTTTTTAGGGGAGTAGAACTTAATAACCAAGACTAAACAGGTAGATTGATCACAGGGAAATCATGAACTTTTCAATCTTGAGTAGTTTGAGTGTATACAAGCAGTCCTTTATTAGAACAGAATGTGTTTAGCTCGAGTGGTTCGCACCAAGGCGACAATCTAAAAAAAAACTTTAAAGAGAAGAACATACCAAACTTAGTTATCAGTTTTACCGCATTAATATCTCCAATCCCTTCAACTCCTGAAAAAGAACATGGTTCCGGTCACATCATAAACAACTTGGTCGATAGACTACCATATATAGAAAATTAGCTTACGAATCTGCATTGCACTGGTGAAGTGTTGGTAACGTACAAACATATATCATAACATGAAATAATTTTCAGACATGAGAATCATGTTTTTCCCCTTAAAAAGATGGGGGACAGTAGACTTCATAGGGTCCATAACATATTTGATGAGTTGATTTAAGGTTTTTATCAAACAGTAAGATTACAGCACATAATAAATAATAAATAAATAGGTAGAAGAACCAAAATGAAATCACTATGTCTATAGATCATGCAACCACCATTTTCTTCGGCAAGCACATTATATACAGTGTATGAACTTTATTTTCTATCACATTATCAACTTAAAAATACTTTGACACATCAAAATCGTGTGCAACTGTGGTCCATTTTTCTGTTTTAGAGCTGAAATGAAAGATATTGGACAAGAAAAACAAAGGTAGCCAAGCACAAGAATTTATTGCGAGAAATAAATAAATAAATACAACCCAATGCAGACCAAAGTTTAGTATCCTTTCTCTCATAGTTTTCATAGCTACCAACAAAAATTAGTCTGAAAGAAGAATGGATGTCAGAACAGATGTGTAGCATAAGGCACAATAGAAATAAAGGGTACCTGGTATATTGTCGGCTTTATCTCCAGAAAGCGCAACAACGTCAACAAACTGTGATGGTTTCAGTGCTCCATATCTCTTGACAAAGTCTTCAACTCCAAATGAAACCATCCTCCATGTCCAAATAAAAACGATTAGCTATTAGAGTATTCCAGTAAGCATGCAAGAAAGGCAAAAAAAACCAAGTACACTTACCCAGAACCACGAGGAGCAATCCTCAGCAAACGTAAAGAAGGTGAAAGAATTTGGAAGAAGTCTTTATCAGGGGAGACAATCCGTACCTTCAAATAAGGACCAGAGTACACAATAAGATATCATATCCAACACACTGCAACGGCATCACATTTTAGTTACACTGTATTTCTTGCATTTTTGTTACAAAATTCAACATACCTATGACTTAATTCCAGACATTCAGTTTTGTCATGTGCAATTGGAAAAGTTAGTTATGAATCAACTTTTACAAAATATCAATCATTTCAAAACAAATAAAAACAGTTTCAGTGAATCTATAACACCTCAGCAGTTTATAAGTACTAACTTTTGTAAATGATGTGAAAGATTAAAGACGGCACTGGAGAACGATTCATGAAGAGAGATACTTATGAAATATCCATTGAGAATATTGAAGAACAATTCATGAATAAAATGTTCACAAATAATCACAGTAGAAAGTTTTATTACCTTGTAGCCTGCAGATACACTGCTGACAGCTAGTGTGCCAATAACATCATCAGCTTCGACACCAGGAACCTACAACCATCATTTAAGAACTCAAATGAAAATATATAATAAAGAATATAATGCCAATCATACACTTGCTAATATATCTTTTACCTCAATCACTTTGATTGACATCGCTTTAATAGATGCCTTCAAGTATTGCATGCCCTGGACAATGGTGTCTGGTGTCGGGATGCGGTTGCTCTTGTAGGAAGGGTATAACATGTGACGAAAAGTCATTCCTGAAAAAAAAAAGACAGTTTCATGCTTTTATAGGATTGAAAACATTGCAAGACATTACTTCCAATTGAAATTTTAATTGTTCTTCAGTGTACAACTATATAAGAGTAATAGAAAAGGAAAGTAAAATGGGAAATAAGTAAGATGGATTGTTCCAGCCCAGCAGGCTAGAAACAAGTCCAGTCTCCAGAAGCCCCAAAGCAAATACAGATGAGCCAGGGTACACAAGTGTAAAAACCATATATAGTATTAAACTATCATTCCCAAATATAAAATGAAATATCATCGTATTATTCTACTAGGGGAAAAGAAAAGGATGATTTGAAATAGGATCAGAAATAAGCAGTATCTCCCTAAAAGTCATAAAAGAAATGAAAGGCAGGCATTTGGAAGGTCATGTTAAATCACTCCTACTGCTTTGATACTTGGCTAAGTAATGGACTAACATAAAGTGCGACATAAATCCAGGACATCCATCACATAAAGATGTGGTTATGCCTAAAATCTTAGATGAATCCAACGGTTACATTCTCCCATGAATCCCATGATCCTATCAAGTTACTTCAGTATATCACTCTTACCTTTTGCCATGTGACATTCTTTGGATGGCATGGCAGTATAATGACCATAAGGGACTCCTGAAAAGAAAAGTTTGGCCACTTATTTGTTACTCTAAGAATTTTAAGGAAATGTATCATTTCAAATTTCGTAGTAAAGATGCCGGGATTTTTCTTATGATCTAATAAATCAGGGGATGTAGATCCAAACAAGTAGAATCCCTCCACAGAAACATTTATATGGATTTAAACTTAAGCCATGCATCTTGAATTGAACTATATTAGATAAAATCACATGGGAGGCCAATAACATTTATTTGTTGTCATATCAAAATCTACAAATACTATCCTTTGTGCAGAAAAAAAAAGGGAAATCATAGTACACTTCAACAAGGATTAGTAAGAAAAGAAAGTGAGGAAAAAGCCAGTTGTTCCAATCAGCAATTAAAGGAACAAATCAGAGAATGGGATATATGAGCAGGAAAGAGGAAGGTTTTGTCTTAATATATTGCATTTCTTAAAAAGACAGATGGAGAATTTTTGTTTCTTTCCTGATTCATATTATTTCTCAGCTACTACTCTGTCTTGATATGAGTTACATACACAAGAAGCACAAGAAATTCTTCAAGAGCATGTATGTTTTAAGCCAGGATTTAAGGACAGATTTGACATTATATGAAGAGGTGACAGAGACTCAAGATTCCTTGAGCTCTGTTTCCAGGAGGCTAGACCTCCCATTACAGGCACTGCTGACCACTGCCACCATCCGTTGCCATTTAACAAGTTGCAGACAGGACAAGATCTCATGCTACGTATGCTCAAAGCTTACAGAGAAAAATTTACCAAGTGTTTGCTGCAGAGAGCAATCAACAAACAATCACAGCAAAATACTAAAATAATAAAGTGAAAGTTTACTCAGTGAATATGAGAATTATCCAATTGAAAAAGCTCACCATCATGGTCAAACACCACCTGCATATGTGTTCAAAGTACCATAAGGAAAAGGAATGCTAAGAGGCATAAAACATAAAACCACATACAGAAACAAACTGTGGTTTCTACAAATGATGCTTACACTGCACCTGGTTATTGGTTTCCTAGCAGTAAGCCAGTAACCTCTAAATATTCTGGAAATATTAAGTATTATGTTCCAGTATAATGGTAAAATAAATACTCCTTTGGCGCATTGGCCCTTGAATCCTTAATTATGGGCTAAACATACAATTTAAGTTGCTTATATGCACTTCTCATTACCATGGTTTAGCACCATGTGTTAATGCTCCCCAGTTCCTAAGGATAGACATGAAACTTTCACATTTTGTTAGCAAGAAATATGATTGGAATTGCAAGGGGTGTCTGTGATCTTAGTTATATATAAGGGTTTTAAAAATTCTCTATGATTCATCCAACAATGTTCTAAAACACTTTATTTTAACAAAAGTTCCATGAGAAAAATGACAGATATGAACAAGACCATATAATTTTAGGCTACAAAAAAGATGAGCGTACCGCTGCATGAGATGGAATGAACTCCAGCATATCTAGAACCTGGAGATATAAAAAGCAATGTAGTTATAATAGGGATCACACATGTTATAAACAAAATCAAGTGGAATCACAACAAAGGAACGCATGTCATAAAATATTACAACGAGAAAAGAAGATTCTGTGTAGAGGCAGAAGGTTAACATGTTGAATTGTAACACCGCCACATGATAAAAATCTATAACGATCCACAAAGGACAGATGTCAACCGGGGATAAACTTATGAGGCTAACATATACTCCTTTTTTTTTCAAACAGGCGATGTTTTTAGTAAATCATCAGTTTCCAACAACTCCAAATACCAACAGTTCATCTCAAGCATACTAAAGAAAAAAGTGTATCTTCTGTCATCACACTTATTCATCGCAAGTAAGTCTTATCTCATGCTGGTTCATTAAACAATGCCACTTAAAGACAGCATGTGTGTCAAAATTTCACTACCCAATCCACGTTTTGCAACATAGCAGTTTGAAAACCTTGCTTATCTACAAAAGACGTTGCTTAATATTTCTCCACTTCAACAATGTTGCACTTCCTACTTGTACGATGATAGATTTGTAATGAGAACAAAATACAAACACATGTACCATAGTCAACCTTAACTAGAAACACAGATGAAGACCATTGTGCTAGAAGCCTAGAAGATGCGTTTCAGACGAACATTAGGTGAAGCAACCAAAAAAAAGGACTATCATTAAAGGGACCCGGAAAACGAACTATGAATAAATTTAAGCTTATTAACAAGTATGCCACAAAAAAATCTATAAAAAAATATACTTACCAGTGACAGAGCTTTAAATATAGTTAAAACCCAGTCTCCATTTCCATCAGCATGCTCCAATTGACCATGCTGCAGCTGTGCTGCATACATGAGGAAAAAAAATAAAGCTGTTGAATCCAACAATTAATGCAATTGGGCACCTAACTCCAAATTAACCCTGGATTTTAGTGCTCTTTAATGTGAGCAGCTGAACCAGTTTTGTGCAGAAAAATACTATGGTAGTTTTGCAAAACATGATTTTGTTTGAGTGCCTTTGACATGATTATCCTAAAGGAATTAGAAAGGAACATACTACCGGAAACCAATAATGAAACTTTCTGCTGCTTATAAGATGCTATGACAGCATAGCACAGTTCAACAAGACAGATATATACTGAGATAATGGATGGGTGTTCTCAGGGTAGGAAAGCAGCAGAGAAGTTAAACCACAAAAAACCATGCCCATATTTTTTTTATCAAAAGATCATGCCCAAATTATGAGAATAAATTGAGAAAATGTTTTCATGTCATGAAATAAAACATCAAGTGTGGGCACATGTACAACTTCTTTTGCCCTTTGTGCATGTGTCTGTGTGTATCTAGGACATATTGCAACATTCTGTTGTGCCTTCACATTATAGGAAGAATAAAAATGTTCAGTTCCCATGTATTAATCATGCCAGTGGAATTTAGTTTAAATATAAATATCAAAACACTTATTTTCTAAACATGCATTTACCTTGATAAGGAGGAGAAGCCAAACATAATATACCAATACAGATGTAACAAAGAGAATCAGGAAACATTTACCCAATATCTTGTAGTAGGATCTGTACATTACTGAGGTTCCATCAACAAGCATTATTCTACTCTTTGAAGGGTCAGCATGAGCTACACTATCACTAGGATTCGGAGAAGTTGTCAACAAGCTTGAGGGCAAGCTATCATCATATAATGGAATTCGTGGAATGTTCTCCATGGATGGTCCTTGAAAATTCTCGATCATGTCTGTGATTGGCAATACGGACTGTTCCGAGAAACCCTGATATTACATAGAAAATTTCAGTAACATTAATTATCTTACATTCAAATCATTGGATTGAATGACAGTGTGACCGTATATAACCCTTGAATAACTATCATCTATAATAAGAGAAAAAAATGTTTGGATAGTCTAATTTGCAGCATAACATTACAACAGTGGCCCGATGAACAACAAACATTGGCAATGTCATTGAAGCATTGGTGGAATGGCTGTGCGCTGCCCCAAACCTCATTGCGTCTAGCTAATATGCTGATTGTTTTCGATTCGTGCACTCCCCAAGGAAAAGGGATCAGAAGGAAGAGAAGGGGGCGCTATAGCATGTACCTTCCTGGAAACCGCGACCGGCAATGGGGCTCGCCGCGCGGCGGCGCGGAAGAGGAGGAAGCGGGGCGCCGTGCTGGCACGGAGGCAGCAACACGCCATCGCCAGATGCCAACCTCTCCCCCGTCGCCCCCACGAGGGTTAGGGTTCTGGAGCACGTGGATTGATTGGTGGGAGGGGATGGAGGCGAAGGCGTTCGACGAAATGCGCGAGTGGCGGCTGGCGGGGGGAACCAGACGACTGGAGCAGAGACTGCTAGATGAGGAGGAGCCACTCTTCACCGCACTCCCCACGGCGAGCAAGCCGCACTTCACCGTGGACCACCGCGAGCGCGCCCCCTCCCGCGCCTCACGGCGAGCGCCGCCGCCCCTCCCTGTGAGGTCGCGACTTGTGATGCTCAGGATTTTCTCCGCCCTCCAGGACTTCCGCCTGAGTTCGATTCTATAGTGAAATGCGATTAGAAGGGTTTTGGAGGAAAAAAAATTACAAAATCAATTCAAAAAAAATAACTAAGTCATTTGTTTGTCTGTAGTATATATTGTTTTAAAGAGATTTTTATAGAATAGAAAAGAAAACTCTTCATATTTTGAAGAAATCTGGCATTAGGTATAACCTAATATTTTATGAAAAAAAACTTTTGATACGTATAATCTTCCTCTCTCGTCGTAACATCATTTAACCATGTTTATCAACCACAACTAAGTTTTAATGTTAAACTTGATTTTAAAGTTAATTTTGTGTGGACGAGGAGAGGAAAGGGAGTTTCTCGTAGTCTATTTTCAACATTGGTTTCAATCACAAATAATACATATATAAAAATTGTACCTATAAATTATTGTTGTCTCTTCTTTTATTTATCTATAGGTTATCAGCCATACATTAATCAATTGGAATGTTGTGTTTTTGTATTTTTGTGTGAGACATCCATATTATTGTTTTGAGCAATTATAAGGTTTTATCTGCTTTATACTATCTCTGTCCCAAAATATAAAAACCTAGGTAGTAGGATTCAATAGGTCATGGCAGTGACAGAGCTAGTGGCACCGTCAAGTCTACACAACCAATAATGTTTTATGGTGCTCCATCCATTTATCCTATATTCCTTTAAAGTTGATCCCCGCTAACTATAATTAATACCATTTTTCTACTTTGTGGTGCATCCACGTCACCAGAATTGTTTACCCCCGTTAGATTTTATTTTCAAGGCTGTGATTAGTCTAGATGTAGCTTCGGTCTGCAGACCACAACCTATCAAGTGAGTCTAGCCCAGCGAGGAGGCCGGCCCCAAACCAATTAACTCCCATGAGTTTTTTTTTGAGAGGTACTCCCATGATAATTGGGTTGCATGCATCGTTTAATTTTCTATCTTAATTACTACCACCTGTAGGATCGAGATGTCGACTAGAGGGGGGGTGAATAGGCGATTTAAAACTAAATAACACCTAATCAAAACTAACCTAAGTTGCTAGGCTTGGTGAGGGTGAACTCTAACTAAGCAACTAAGTTATGTTTTGCAAACCTAGGGTGATAGTGGCTCAATTATATCTCTAGGAAAGTAAATCACACTCCTATGTCAAAGTATGTCTCTAGAAATGTAAATTGCACAAATGTAAATGCGACAATCAAATGAGACAAGGAGACAAGAGATTTTTCACCGAGGTTCGGAAACTCGCCGGTTTCCTACTCCCCGTTGAGGCGAGCCCAACTCCACCGCTCAACCACGAAGCCACCGCACGCCCCCTTCGTCAAGGGGTGGGCAAGGCGGGAGCCGGCCCACGGAGAGGACTACCCAAGCCTCGATCACCAGGGTAGTTCTTCCTTCACTCCGAAGGTGGTGAACCCAAACCACTCACAAACCGGCGCCGGGCCTCCTTCACAATCTTCTCGGAGAGGTCACCGGGCAACTCCTCCACAAGCCGTCTAGGAGGTGGCAATCCTCAAGAGTAACAAGCAATGACCCGGCGTGGAGATGATCAAATGCCACACTAGCTCTACAATGGAAGCAAATGCACTTGACTCTTGGCTAAACAACCCTCTAACACACTAGATGGATGAACACAAAGCTCAAGTGAGTGTGAGAGAGATGCAAGGGGTGTATGCAATTGAATTGGGTGCCAAGAGAGCCCCCTTGCTGCTGGTGGGGGAGTATTTATACTCCCACCCACCAAAACTAGCCGTTGGGAGCGAAATCCCCCAACTCTGTGCTCTGCCGGTCTGACCGGAGGTATGTGGCCGGTCAGACCGTGCTACTCTGCAACGGCTAGAAAACTAGCCGTTGTAGCCCTGTCAGAGGGCCCCATCAGCCTGGTCGGTCAGACCGACATGGGGTGGCCGGTCAAACCGCCATCGGCTCGGTCTGACCGAATACGGCTCCGTCGGCTCTGTATCGGCCATCCCGAGCAGCACCATCCCGGCCTCCAGGGGGCCGGTCTGACCGCGCATGTGCCGCCGGTCAGACCGGCCTTATGCGTTGGTCAGACCGCCTTCTTGCGGCCGGTCAGACCGGCCAGGGCACGCCAGTCAGATCGCCACTATGTGGCCGGTCTGACCACCCCTGGTCAAGCCGAACCTAGTGAAGTGTGTGTGTGTGAAATGTGAGCACAAGTCTAAATGTATAATGACCTAATGTGGCAATTAAAATCATCTCTTTGCTAGGTCATTACCCCTTTTAATAGTACGGCGAAACTAAAAATAAACTAGCAAATTTGATCGCCCTACACCTCGATCAATTCTAAATTAAAGCGCTAGTTTTACCGTTTTCTTTCCCTTTGCTTTGCGCCGTCAATTTTAATCCATCGATAATCATCCATGCGCACATATGACGTGGACCTAACTTAAAATGTATAGCTCAAAGACAATGGTTAGTCCACAATTAGCGCTTGTCATTAATTACCAAAATTAACACCGGGGGCCTAGATGCTTCAATCTCCCCATTTTTGGTAATTGATGATAAACACCACAAATATATATAATCAAACATAGAGCACATGGACATATATTGCATTGACAAGCAAAAGCTCCCCCTAAACATGTGCATAACAATCACAAATAGCAAATATGGAGCCAATGCACAATTCAATTTCACAAATCAACATAGCACAACACATAGACAAATTATAATGTGAACTTCACATATGAATCAACCGAATGCATAAGATGGTCACAAGTATATCAATGTCACACCAACCATCCATCATAGCACAAGTTCACATTAAGACCACATAAAGGGCTCACAAATAAATATAGGCTATTACAAGACCACGAAGGGTCCAAATGACATAGAGATCAACAAAACGAAAAGGAACACACAATATAGAGTAATAGCCCATACCCATACATAATATAGCCCAAACCTCCTTAACCTATTAGATATGAGGTGACTAACCTCACTACTACTAGTCCCAACCCACGAGACATAGGAACACACTTTTTCCCCCCTTTTGGCATCAAGTACCAAAAAGGTCTTCATTCTTGTGGTGGAGAAGGAGGACGCGCCGAAGTGGAAGGATGATGAGCATCACGACGACGATGATACACAAATGCTTGGGTACTCTTCAAAGTTTGGACTCGAGAATCCAAGACACCCACCCTAGTATGCAATCTTCCCACCGAAGTATTCAAGTTGCCAACATCGGTGCGCAAGCCACGAACATCCTCATGCAAAGCTTCATGCCCGGTAGACAAGCGTTGAATGCTTTCACTCAGGGTATTAATAGCCCCAAGTACCGGGTTGAAGTACTCGTTGGGTTGCATTCCAAAATAAGCATATTGTGGATGGAAAAAATCACTTGGATCATACCCATGAGGAGGAGGAGGGGCTGCACTTGAGCTTGCACCTTGATCAAAAGTTGGTTGGCGCACACAAGGAGCTCTAGGAGTGGAGAGTTGGAGACGAGGCTTGTACTCCTTATGTTCTTTTAAATTGTGACCAATTTGTCCCAACTTGCTTTGAATCAACCTCATTATGTAGGGAGCATAATAGATTCCTTGTTCAATAGTCCCCTTTGAGATGGCAATCTCCTTCATTATAAGGTTGATAACATCAAACCGACGACCATCCAAAATGGCATCAATGACATGCCAAGCAACTCCGCGTATGTCATCATTGTTGCCGCATCTTGGGAGGATGGTGGCCCTTACTATACGGTTGATCACACTTGGGAGAGCCCTCAAACCCGCCACCTTTCCATATGTGTGCCTTCCCCCTTCTTCATAAAACTGAGAAAAGTGATCAATGGAGAAGGGGTTGTGGGTGTGCTCATCATGAAGGTCATCCCCGTTGTTGAAGCGGATGTGCAAGAGCTCCTTGAATTCACGGCGGTTGATAGAGCATCGAAGGGTCCCCGACATCCACTTCATTGCATCACAATCGCCGGACACTCATACGGTGGCATAGAATTGCCGGATGAGATCTTCATCAAAAGGTTGCTTCATGGTGACAATTCTATCAATCCCAACGGTCCGGAACATCTCTTGCAAATCTTCAAACTCCGGTGTCTCACCAATGTGCCTCCAAGAAATCCACTTGTGTTCGGCGAAGGCTTTGTTGGCATACACTTGTTCATACACGGACTTTTGGAACCGTGTATGAAATCTTGGATCATTACAATCGTTAGGCCTCTAGAATTGATGATGATGACGGAGGATAGTGTATTTTTGAGCATTCCTCAAATTAAGCACAAATTGGATGGTGGAATCGAGAGGACTCCCATCATCACTTGCCTCATCATCTTCACCATTGCCACTCCCATTGTCATCACCATCATCACTTCCTTCCATCTCATCACCCTGAACATTTTCCATATTTTCATCTTCACTTTGAACATACTCATCTCCGCTTTATTCCTCATTCTCACTGATGGGATTGGGCGTGGGCTCACGATGACCATGGCGAGTGCGGGGAGGCATAGCTGAAAAACAAGGAGCAAAGGATGGATAAGCAACAATTTTAGAAGCCACATAGTGAAGAGTAAGGAATGGGGGTGCTGCCTGTCAGGGGCGGTCAGACCGAGAGCCAAAGCCGGTCAGACCGACGGCCATGGGCCGGTCAGACCGGCGTCTCACGGCCGGTCAGACCGCCGCTGACAGTAGCACAACCGAATCATTCCACAATCCACACAAATGATTCTAAAAATTGCTAGGACAAAGTTGCACAAGATTGGAACATGAACATCAAGGTGTAGGTCTATTTCATAGAGATTGAAGCAATGGGGGAAACTACCCTTAACCCTAGAGATTAAAATAGACCGATTTGAGAGCAATGCACAAGAGAGAGAGAGTGATTTACCGGTTGAAGGAGTTGAATCACACCAAGAAACTACCCTCTATTGGTGCAAATTGAAGAACACCTCTTCCTTCACCTAGGGTTCCATGCCATGGATCACAAACTCAATAAAAACTCAAATCAATCCATGGAATAGAGAGAGGAAGCGGAGGAGAA